CCGAATAAGTCTTAACTGTCCGCTTCGCATCTTATTCATTTTCCCCTTATGAGATGAAAGAAGTAATGGCTATTGGTGGACCAAGTAACTCCTAGCATTTTTTTTAGAAAATCCCTTCAAGTTTGCTAAGAAAATGGTAGACATCTGTTCACACACCCAACAATTGCTTTCATAAGTACGAGCGAGACAATGACTTTATAGAGAGGAAGTAAAATTTTCAAAAATAGAAAATATTTTGAACTGTATAAACTCGAATTCGAATAGAAGTGTGTAAAAAAAGTCGATTATGTGTTGGATTATAGCTGAAATTTTGTGTAGAACCAAAGCGAAAATATATCATGTGCAATGCATGTAATAATATATTACACATTATACACATTGTTGTAATAGAGTTCAGATGGAGAGAAAGGCAACTGTGAACGGATTTCGAGCATATACATATATCTGAATATTATTATTTATGGGCATCTGAATTTAACCTCAATCTTTTTATCATGTTTTCAGCTAATTTATTTGCATGAATGAAATTTATATCATGTCTACATAAACCGGAAGCCTTCTATCAGTAATTAATTAATTCCGTTGGCAGTTAATTAAAAGAAATATTACCAAACGTTGTCATGAATGTATTCAGGTTTTTTGGTCAATTCATAAATATTTCTTTCATTTATAACGGACATGATAAAAATAAGTGATATACGATGTATATATTAATGTCAAAATTGTATGGAGCTATCAAAAGAGATAAAGATAACTTTTACAGTTTCTAGGATCCAATGCAAGCATCTCTTCAGCCATTAATTCACGAGAAATGCATAGTGAAAACACTACAGTGGGTCATGGCCCACAATGCCACCGTACAGTAATTCATCTGACAATTTGTTAATATGAGGCTTTATAAGGGAAGTGGCCGAAAAAGTGGTCCGATCCAAAATATTTTCAACAGCGTTTGTCCTTTGGTTGAAACGTGTCGGTGTACAAAATTTTATTTAAAAATCTCAAAAATTGCGAAATGTAGACTGTAAAAAAGGAACGGACAGATGGACGGACAAGTTTAAATCAAAGTGATTCTGAATCAATTGGTATAATAGAAGGTGGGTCCCTTTGTACCCGTACACACAAACTTAACATACCCTATACCAAAAGTGATGTGTAGGGTATGAAAAGTGTAAAACTGATAATTGAGTCTCAGTAACATGATATAAAGTTTAGTTATTGCATTTTTTAGAATTTTATATAACAAAGATGTGAAGTAATCGATAAGAACTTATAAGCAGTTTCGGATTCTGAGACGGTGATGTTAATGCAAGAAAAAAACGAAAGACAAAAATGCAGATAACCACAATAATTATTTCGAAATTCAGGTTAACAATTTTTTAAAAGAAAAAGTTAATTGTTTTCAACTAACAATTATTTACATTAATGTAAAAAGAAGCTTACACAGTTGCTTAGTTATGCAGTCATTGGTTAATTAAAATGTAATAAAAGAAATATCAACAAATACAATGACTACAATGTTTATTCGCTTTAACTCCGTCAAGTCATTGACGTGAATTTTTATTACTTTAATGCTTTTCTTATTTTATTTACAAAAAAAAAAAATAATTTTTTTAACCTTTTTCTTTCTCTTTAAACGCTCTATGGAAGACTTGTTGAAATTGTATTCTCATCATTATCATTATAATGGAATGATAATTTAATTGTTTATATTATATATATATATAAATATATATATTTTAGTATTTTATTTTATATATTTTTTTTTTTTTTTTTGCCAATTCTTTCACTTGAAATGTATATATAATATGCTTACCTCAGCATATATAATTTTCTTACATTTGCATATGACCCACTAAGCTCTATAATGATTTTTAATTAAATGTTGAAAGTAATAAATAATTAGCCGCACACATCGATGAGGGCGTTTTGTTTGCAGGCGATACTGTTATGCAAACAATAGTAACATCATCTTTACAATGCCTTTGAACCTTTACAAAAAAAAAAGTTTTATCGATCGATATATTATTTTGATATGAAAATATACGTCGTTGTGTTCGTAGAGTATAAAACATTGGTCAATAATTCACAGAAATTAGAAAGAAAAATAAAAAAAATTTTTTTTGTTTTTTTTGCAAAATTCGATTCGATTCGAACTCAGTTTTGTTCAGTCCAAAGTTCCTCTAATACTAAGAGGGCTTTTCTACAGAATGATTTTTCAAAACAACATGGCTTCCTTGCTCTTTCATTTTGAAAATTGCAAACTATCGCTCGGACCAGGTCTGGCGAATTGGGCGAATGGGATTTGCTATTGAAGTCATCAATCAACTTGTGATGCGGTACATTTGTTCTTCTATGAGAAAAGATTATATTCTTTGATATCTGCGGTATATGTGTCTTGCATTATGACTTTTCGATCGTGAAGAATAATTTTTAAGGATTTTACGCTCTCGCCATTGTGCAGAAAGCCATGTCTAGTCAAACGATGAAATTTTGATTTTCTCACTCGGTATACATTGTTAAAGAACATTTTGTCAGGCGCCGTTCGTTGGTTGGCACTTGAAAACAAAAAAAAGAAAGAAAATAAAACCACAAAGAACACTGACATTCCAGTCCCAGGAATTATTGACCAATATGCTTTTATTTGTTATGTTTTTAATAATGTTGAGCAGCAAGAAACGTGGGATGTAGTTGTAGGTAATGTCGCGTGAGAGAGAAATCTAAGCGAAATATTCATTATAAATTAGCAAATAACACACACTCACACACATTGCCAATTTATATTTATATATTTTGTTGTATAATGTACACAAAATCTTTATGTCCGATCAGCCAGCCAGCGTTTTGCATGTATGTGTATACATACGCGCAAACAGTTTAACGTGGGTTCATCATGATTTTGAGCATAGACAGAACTGCTCTTTGAAATTAAAGTAAAGGATGAAGGTTTTCATCCATTTTAAGGAAAAGCATGATCTTTAGGATTTCTCTATGCATCACTGAAGGTTGAGGACATACTCTTTTTATCAAAACGTTTATAACATTCAGACCGAAGCTACATAGATTCTATAAAGGAGATATACAGGCTTGACTAGCATGAGAGGCTGAATCGATCTAAGTGTGTCCTATCGCTTCGTTGTCCGTGCCTTCCTCTCCCCACTTGTCCCGCCGTCCTCTCCTCACCATGCCTTTGTCGGCCTCTCTCTATGTCTGGCCACCGTCCGTTTATCTATGCTTTCGTTTGTCACTTTCCTCCTCTGTGGTCTGTCCGCTTATGTACCTTCACATTGCTTATGACATACAGAGGTTTATATTGTTTTACAAAAACAAAAGCAGCGTCACAAAAATAACTGCGGCAAAGAAACTTGTGAACTAATAATCGAAATGTGATGAACTTTTGACACATGGTTTTTTTGGATTTGATAACAGTGGCGGATATCTATGTGTCTATATGTCATCCTATGAATTTATTGAGTAAAATGTTATATTGTCACAATTCAAGAGGAATGCTTTGATTTAAGCTTCGAAAGAGTTGGCCTCGGATAAAGAAAAGGTGTACGTTACCCAAAATATTACTCACCTCTAGTCGAGCCTTTTGGGTCACAAATTAGATGCAGTCTTTAAGACAAAATAGGTTTTCTTGTACAAACAGTGAATAATTGAAACGATCATCTACCGGAATCTTAAAGTTACTAATAGCCAGAAAAGACAATGACAATCCATCGAAACCGATAAAAAAAACGTTCCTCAGCAGGCAATTTGTAATTCTATGGACTCGGAATTTTATTCTGGTCTCCGTGTGTCTAATGTTAGTACACTTTCTTTAACACTCCGTTCTACAGATGAGAAAATTAGTGAATTCTTACTATCATTGTTCCGTTTTTTGCGTATTCGATAATTAATTTTGCTCACTCCCTCCCTACTCCGATTGCAGTCATAACAACCATTATCTTTTGAGAAAAACGTTTCTTTTGATAAACTATAAAATAAATAAATATATATTTAGATAAGAAAGTTTTCATATCTCTAAAAATGTATTGGTAAAAATGAGAGAAAGTAATGAATACGAAGCGAGCAGAGAATATGAGAACTAGAACGTGTGATCAATAAAATTATAATTCCATGAATTTTATTTAGAATAAATGAAAGCTTTATGGTAGACGACGGCGCACCATTCAATACCCTACCTTATTTTATTTAATACAGTCAACTATATATCAACATTTCAAATTAAGGCTTTATAGGGGAAGTGGTCGCAAAAAAAGCGATCCGATCCGAACTATTTTCAATCGCACTCATCTTTGCATCCATAACATGTCAGTGTGATAAAATTTGATCAAAATATCATATAAAAGATTTGCGACTTGTAAGTCGAACAGAAGAAAATAAGATGGACAGACGGACAGACAAGGTTAAAATCATTTTCTGTGTAGTACGCAATGACTGATTGTACGATTTTGAAAGGCTAAAAAGCGGATACATGCATAAATGAAACAAATGGACTACAGAGCTAATACTTACATAAATAAGTATACATAAGTATATATGTACATAGTATTTTCAAAATACTGTTAACATTAATTGAATTAAAAGCAATAAACATTCAATTAAATTTCCAGTTAATACAATTGAATTTAAAAATCCTGAACGATCAAACGCGTTCATCCCCAGCATCACCGAGGCAACGCCATACACCGCCTGTTGGCCCTACGATAACAAAATTGAAGAAAAAAAAAAAAGCAAAAAAAGTTTTATTGATAAATCATTTCGAAAAATTTAATATTAATTAAATTTTTTAATAAAAGTTGACAATAAAAGCAACACGAGCGCACATAGATCACAATAGAGTTGTGAGCTTGCAGCCGTCACAGGCAACGGTAACATTTTACCTTTTCACAATTGAAAATGAAATTATAAAAAGAAAGTGTTAAATAATAATAACGTGCGGTTAACGTTAATGGGAGGCGCGTAACTTTATGATTCGTGTAATTTGTAAAAAACTTGTGCAAAACGAAACCAGATTATGTTTCATAAATTACTGGTTCCATTATTCTGCCTTATTTACAACTTGTTGTTGAAAATTTTAATTTCATCATTTAATTGAAGTAAATTATTTTATTGATTTCACGCATTTTCCAAGACGCATTGCTATGCTTTTTCTTTCTCTCTCTTTCTCTCTCTCTTTCTCTCGCTGAAGTGGAACATGGAATGCAAAAGAAAAGAAAAGAAAAGATTATTATTTAATCTCAATAATTAACTCTGTATTTGTTATAAGCTAATTATAACAGATTGAATGAAAGTCGTATATAGAGTTTTGCAAAAAAAAATTGCTAACTTAATTCAAAAGAGCCGCAATAAAGTGTTTTCGCATTTGCGTTGGAGTTTTTCGTTGCCTTGCATTTCTTAAATGTTACTTTTTACACATTTTTCTGGAAAAAACTATCCTAAGAAAAATAATAATAATAATGGACTATCGTATATATATGCATATGTGACCGTATATATATATATATGGGTATATATATATGGGTGTGTGTAAGTAAAAGAAATTTGATTTATTTAAAGCAAAGTAAAGTCTATGATGTCTTCCATGTAAAGTACGAATTTTTTATAATCCAAGGTATTCCATATTATCCGACAGACGGTTGATGTCCATCCATACCCATAACACGTGATCACATGTCGATAAATCAATTAAATTTAGTCGACTTTCATGGTGTGGAAGAGGCAAGATTATATTCCATCATAACTCATAAAAGGAAAAAGTGTTTTTAGGCAGGAATAGCTTGCAGCTTCGACCGCGTCACATATCAACTTTCAATTATGTAGGGATTATCCAAGCGTTTCGAGCAACCTTTTATAAAGCGTAAAGAACTTTTTGCTTTATTTGCAAATTTGTTTATTTTTTTTACCTAACAAATCACTTAGAGAGATGAAGGGCACAGCCTAGTAGGTGTGCGCCTAATCGATAAGTATTATGACTAAAGATCAATCAAAACTCTTCCATTTTTTCCACCGATTCTTACCTACTCGTCTATTCATGCGGCCAATTCGCTGAATATGAAGATAAAGGTCTTTTTTTGCTTTAGTGGATGCCTTTAACGACGGATTTGAAGGCCTCGAGGAGGACAGAATAAATAAATAGGAATAAACCGCTAGAAATACTGCCTTACGTTTCTGCAAATACGCTGAATGTTTCATTAATTACCCATTGGTTCTTTGAAAGTTGAAAAGGAGACGACAGTGGACGGTAGCGACTACAGATGCTTAAAAGCTTTTTTTTAAATAGAAACTTTTTCGTAAGCATTGCAGTGTCAATAAGAGCTTATAATAATAATGCATAGGTTACTGTGCATTAATTTCACGTGTTGTAAAGCGCTGAAGAAATTTCTAATGATCAATATGAAATGCGACAAACACTAAAGATTTATGTTGATTCTAATTAAATACACACACAAGCATACTTATCTTTCTCATATCTTCAAATAGTTACAAGTTAGAAAATTATTTTCAGCTATGAACGAATCTTTCATCCCCACCGTCTGTATCCTTGAAAAAACTGATTTTGATGCTCTTTTACATCAGATACGATAGATAGGCGTGGCTGATTTTTTCCATTTTTGCAGAATGTGTGTCTCCTTTCAATGTGATGAATAATCAGCAAAAATATCAAGAAGCGGTGATGTTTTCAGTTTATGTTGCACTGTTGACGCGACTTTTACACTCGTTTGGTGCATTTTCAATACTAGCCTAGCGTGAAAGAATTTGCAATGTTTTTGATAAATTTAAGGGCGGCAAGACGGAAAGAAAGGCAGCTGAACAATTTTAAATAGATTCAGAATTTATGATGTGTCTGAAGTATCCTTCTGAGTAGGGCAAAATAATTATATGCCCATCCTGCCTGTTGTATCGACTTTAAAGCTTGCCGGTGGTTATGTTGTAAACACCATATTGAAAGTTGCCTAGGCATGAAATTCGTAATGAAGAAGAGGAGATAAAGAAAATAAGTGCAGTAATTTAGCTATTATAAGTTTATTACGGTTTAGTTGCCGGCATAAAGGAGAGCTAAGTGTATTCCTCAGCACTTGAACTAAGATGTCAAAATAGGTTTGTCATTAAATTTGTTACAACTACCAAATACCTATCGGCGATCTCAACGCCCATCTGTACAGCTAATCAATGAAAAATACTGAGTGGACTGTCGATTTGTTTTTGAAATGCTTATAGTAAAGAATTAAAAGGAGAGGTATTATATATCCTTAGTTATATCGAAAAATCAAGTTTGAAAATGTTCGCGAGTCGCGATTACGTAAAAGTACGCAAAGGAAATACAATTTTGTTGAATTATTGTTAACTATTGTTTACTAAAAAACTAATAAAAAAAAATATTCATATGAAATTTGGTCATCTAGGCTTTCATGATGGGACAAACAAATCGTTTTTAGTTGACTTTTTGTTTTCAATATACAACTGGTTGAGAGAGCGAGAGTATCTCAGATTCGTTCCGAGTCAATTCTCTTAGTTGCTTGAAAGTAATATTCGTTCGCAACGGTGATGGAGCATGGCTGGCACTAAGCAATATTTACAGAAACATTCATTTTCTTTAAGTACATTAATTAATTATCTGGAAAAAGCACAATGTAATTTAGTTAAAGCGTGAAAGCCTTGTTTTTTGTTTTTTATTTTTTTCTTTTCCTCTGATTTTGTAATAAGTTTTTCCTTTTTTTTTGCTTCATTTGTTTGCATGTTTTTCTTTTTATTTTTAGTTGTTGTAAAGATTTGTTAGTGAAAAAGGATGATGACGTCATCTTTAGAAAAAACATCATTCACAAGGACGGAGAAAACAGAACAAATATATCATTTGAGAGCGAACAAAAGCATCGAAAGTCTACATGGTATAGCGAGCGATAAGAAGAAAATTTCATCAAATGGTCAACTTCTTTGCGCACTTACCCCGATATCTTGTAAAGCGTCTAACAATTTTACAACTCTGTTAAAATCCAGTTCGAAAATACCGTGCCGTCTTGGCTTGCAATCATCCGCAACGTCATGGAAACATCCAAATAAATTATTGCCATTCCGACGTTCCACCTCATTGCGTTTGCGCAATTCCAAATCGAATTGTGCAAATAGAGTGAAAATGGCGGAAAACGGAATTGCATTAGCGGGGGCGAATTATACTGACGGCTCCGAAACCGGTAATGGTCAGGTTGTCAGTTCTACTTCGCGTCGCAAATTGAAATCATTAACGCGACCAGCAACGCGTAACGAACAACCATTAAAACGTTCCTTATCGTTGCGGAAAAATTTTAAAATCTCATCGAGCTCATTAAACAAAACGGAATCGTTAAAGCAACAGCAAATACAAAAATGTTTGGAAAATCAAGAAAAAGAAGAAAATCCCATTAAAAATATAGCAAAATCTATAGAAATCATCGGTGATAGCACATCCAGCGGAGATGAGCTAAACAAATCGCTATCTTTGGAAACAATTGTACTTGACAATTATGAAGATATACCGATAATGGTAAGTTAGATAATCTTTTTATAAAAGTGAAAAGCACGCAGAGCAAAATAGGTGAAAATAATATCGATTTTCATGTTGACGTGAGTGATTGTTGTTTTTGTTAGAATGTTGTTGTTGTTGCTGCTAACAATATATACACTTTATCAGAAAAATGGCTAAGAGAATAAAAATGAAAAAAAAAAAGCAAAAAACAATTTTACATACAATGAAGAACATACGTATAACTTAACAACGAATTTGGTAGTTAGGTAAGTGAACAAACTAAAACAAAAGCTTTAAGAGCCATCAAGTAAAGAGGCTTTTTCCTCTTACCAAGAAAACATATTTCAAAGGAGTTCAAGGCTTAAAACATACAATCAAAACGGATACGTTGTAAACTAAACTTAGATTGGCTTTTTTAAATGTTCATATTGTGTATATATGTGCATGTGTATGTGCATGTGTGTGTGTGTGTGTGTCTGTCCTAGTTGCGTTACTAGGCTTTGTGAAAATAGTTTGTTTGACGTGACGTCTATGGACTCTGTAAGCCAATGATAATTCTACTTTCCGCTCGTAAAGACTTCTTTCACTTTCTCTGACAAGCCTCGACACAAGGAGAATAGTTCATGAACTCGTTATAAATTTCCATCAATCGTTTTCGCTTGAAATACTTTTTTCGCGCTTATTTAAGCTTCGCGCCGTAGATTCAATTCGAAAATTCTACTCTGGCTTTCCCCCCCCCCCCCCACTCGAAACCATCTCTTTCATTTCCCTAATTGTAGTGTCGGGTGAATAGACCAAACTTTTCGGATCTGTTGTCATCTAAAACGGAACAGAGTATAAATATAGCCGAACGTGGAACCAAAACCACTACAGATCGTGCATTAAGTTTTTTACATACTGCATTAAGAGGCCTATCGGAGACACCATGCAGCATTCATTTTTGAGTAGAATGACTAGAATGAGTGCCTGGCTCATCATCAGTTATCAATTGAAATCATTATTACGAAGTGAAAACTTTTCCTAACCTCAAATCTTTTCTATTATTTATCACTTTGTTAAATGAAAAAAAACTTCCGTCCAATTGAACCATGACTCCGCTTATCAAAATAATGTTGATAAGCCTAGATTTCTGGATTCTCTAGTCTTAAGATTGTAAAGCCTTTAGTTTCAAAGTTTGATCTGAATTTTAATTATTTTTTTTAGCAAGTAAAGAGGAGCTTTGCCTTGTTTTGCATTCACATATTGAACGTACGCGCTACATATTTTAACTTCAGTTTAAATCGGTCCCGAAGTTTTACTTTCACTAATTGAAAGTTTCTATAATTTTTAGAAATTCTTTGCACGATCGAAATCTTTCTCAGATTACCACGGGAAGATCTTTACGCTAAGATCTCCGCCTCACATTGCCTCAGGCCGGTTTTAGCGAAAATCTCACAGCAATCGTACTCTTTTCGTTTTTAAATTTCATTTCGTGGCTTTAACATATTAACAGTTCACTTAACTTGTTCGACAAATTAATTCATACTCATATACATGCCCACTGATATTTTAAGAAAGTTAAAACCTCAAGTCCTTCTAGAAACAATAATGAACGCTTGCATATATTTTTGTATTCCTCAGGTCCTATAATTTTCAGTTAAATTTGAAAGCAGGCATGGCAGGCATCACTAAGAATATGCCTGCAATGGGTAAAATATTGTAACTGTCAGCCTGTTTCAGATATAAATTTAAAATTTGAACCAAGTAAATGATAAGATCTTCGATCCTACTGAGGTCACTAATACCAAACGTTACCCACGACAGTTGATCATTTTGAACCATGGCTTAAACGGCCGGAATATCAAAAAGGCTAAAACAAATTCATTTTTTTACATGGCATCTGTCCATCCATCGTCAAAATCGTTAACGCTAACGCAACATGCGGAGAGAATCCAACTAGAAAGTGCTAGCCTTCGTGTATTTCGATTAGTACCTGTTTGCATAGATGAATGCAGCATTTGCTAAGCAGCACTTTGATTCGTAGAAGGGTACGAAAAAATGGCACCATTAATTTTTTTTGCGGCCAAGAGGGAAGATTTTTTATTAGGATCGTATCTACGAAGAAAAGGGGAAAAGTGTGTAACTAGCGATGGGTCGTATTATACTTTGAATAAATTACTTTTTATCGCTTTTCTGAATTTAACGTATTTTTCTCGAAAAAAAAGCGTGCCCCTCTAATAAACGCTTATGCACCTGTGCAAATAATCTCTTCGGCAAACACCTTACATGATTAATCAGATTTTTATCGCTCATGCGAACAAGTTTTGATAGTTAGTTTACATCGTCATGATAAGAGACTCTTATATATGTATGTATTTCTCATTTATTTCGCTACAATATGCGAAATATTACTCATTTTTTCTCATTCTCTCTCTTTTTCTTACTTCACGACCAACTGTGATTATCACAAACAAGCACAAGCAAAACCAATCATGCATATCTATGTAAATATGAGTAGATTTAAAGCCTATGTTTATTCCATACGTTTCCATAAGAGAATCTCTCAGGCAAGTGACGAAAATTGAATAATCGCCGCAAGTTTTGTACGGATAAGGGGTGATTTCAACCTCGCTTGCTATTAACCTCAAAGATTGTGAAATGTTTCATGTTATAGCATTTCTACTAAAAGAATACGTTATAGAAACAGAAATGCAATATCTTTTTACTCATAAAATTCATTGATATGTCTACGTAATATACGTGTATGTATATACGTGTATATATATGTATACGGTGGCTGGCTTTGAGACAACATATTGTTACGGTGGTAATATGTGTAGGGTTTCTTGGCTTAAAAGTTTATGTAAAGATTTCAGTTGATATTTGCAAGCTAACGTGTGGCCAACTCACAATAAGGCAAACAAATAAAAAAAAAAAAAAAAAAAATTAACCAAAGTGAAGTAAATAGTTTTTATTTTTTATTTTGAAAAACAACGAGAACATTTCCTCTTACCATAATATTGTTTAATTATTTGTGTTAACGCAATTTAGTGCTTGGCTTGTTTTTCGTTAACTTTCATTTTTTTGTTTTTTTTTTGCTTGCCTCGCACCATGGGAAACATAATTGGAATACAATAACAATTTGCTTAAAATTAAATAGTGAGAAGCGTTTTTTTTTCTGTTTTTTTTTTTTGTGTGTAAATATGTATAATACTGCATGGAAAACTTTATTATAACCTTTAAAGGGTCAACGACTTGAAATATATGAAACATGAAATGTGCATTTGTGGTTACATCGCACAAGTTGCCATAAGGTTACTAATAATATCACATTAAGTTTAGAAAAATTATTATTAGATAATTAGAATTGTGTATGTGTAGGATATTAAAAATAAAGTATTTCTTAAAAATTTTTCTTCTCATTATTCACCTTAAAGTTCATTTTTTAAACATTTGTTTCCGTGACGAAGGAAGCATTCCAGTACCCAGGCGTTGTTTTTGCCAACCATCGATCCCACAAAATACTCATACCGTATGAATGTAAGATTTCAAGACTGTCTACTCTACTGCCTAAAAGATAAAAAATTTAATTTTTGAATTAATTTCATAGGTGAAGTCTGATTGTCATCAGCGTAACTACGTTTGTAAAAAAGCTGAAATCATCTAAGAGAGGAAATCACTGTAAATTTGTTCTTTTTGCTGAGTTCATAGATACTTTGAAACTTGTAGAAAACGTTATGAAATACCTGTGTGAAGGAAAAAATACTGCCAGGAAGCTACAGCATAGTGATTTCTAGCTTCTCTCAGGTGACTTTGCAAAGTGTTTATTACATTCTATGCAATTTGTGTTACAAAGAGCTATTAAGTTTATGCGAATGTGTGTAGCGCACAGAAGGACTCGAGACATCCACCTTTCATTAGACTCAGAGTCAGTTTCTTCTAAATCGATCTAAGCTCTATCTGTCCATTTGTCTGTCTGTTTTCGTTCAACTTACATATCGCAATTTTTGAGGCATCTTGATGAAATATGGTACAACAACATGTTTTATCTCAAAAGCGTATGCTGTTAGAAATAGTTCGAATTGGACCAGCATTTCGACCACTCCGCATATAAAGCCTTATTTTAATAAGTTGTTATATGAATGACTATGTTAAGCGAAGTGGTATGCGGAGTTGTGGGCTATTTTCATACGTAAGCCTATCTCCACTCTTGCGAGCAGAAGTATATGATGAAGTTTCCGATATGAGCTCGACTTGAAAGATTTATCCATTTCCCTGCTGCATATCTTTTTACATTTCGCAACATACCCAAGTGGAAAACGCTCAATTTCATTTTTGTCAGCTATGGTAAAAACGGGATCTTCTAGCAAAAAATCTTCAAGGAAAAAGAATGAGGACGAATACGTGAACATAAAAGAGTAGTTTTATGGTCCTGCTGAATTGAAAGGAGGAGATTAATAAAAAACCTATTTCAATACAAAAAACACGTCGGCATTCCGCATTTCGAGACCTTAGATCTTTTAAAACGGTATACAGTGTAATTTTTTTAAAAAGAGTTACTTTAGTTGTTAACAAAAATTGTTTTTTTTTGTTCGAAAGTTAAAGTTTTTCTTTGGAATCATCATTTCATCAATCTCACAAAAATCAATGCTTTCAAAATCGTGTACGTGTTTCTCTAGCTAAAGATATGTAGATTAAATCATTTTTATTTTTTGCTTTATACAAATTCGTACTAATGCATGCTGCAGACGCTTTCAAATTCAACACGGTATCATGAGAATGACTGACGTGCTGACATTTTTGAATACTTTTTACCAAAATTTTTCATTTTAATACCTAAGTATTGTTAACCCTTTGCACTCAATACAAAGCCGAATATAACATATTAAGTATTTGAAAAAAAATAAAAAAAAAACATTTAATAATTTTAAATAAGATCATATTGAACACGTAGTTCATAGCTTGCGTAAGAAATGCAACGTCGAGGCACATTCAACATAGGAACGGAAAGGGTCAATAACTGCTCCTCGTATGGTATT